TGGCGACGCTTTCACACTTCGCAGCCCCCCCAAGGATGGCGAGGTCCCGTTTGGGTTCGCGTGGGACACCATTGCGTTGGCCCCCCCAGCACCCTTCGAAAGTGGCGGCCGTTTCACATATCGCAGCCCGCACGAGGGACGCGAGACGAGAGAGCCGACAGGAGAGCGGGGGGAGCGTGAGGAAAAGGAGAACGGAGTCGGCAGTTGGCACCCCTTTGCTGTTCAAAACGGATACGCAACCAAAGGAGGGCTGAAACAAATGACAATTCGGCGGCGAATTGGCCCGACACGGAAACAAAAACGCTGCAATGCCACCCATCCGGGGCTCCATTTCTCCGATGCGTGGACCTTCCGGAGCCCCTGAAATCAGGGATTGCAAAAGAAAAAATCTGGTCGTCCGGGTCCACGGAGACGTAAGACTCGGGTTGGCGTGACGGCGCCATCAACAAAAACACGGGACCGGCGGAAACTCCCACGGAAACTGAACCGTCAAATTTCACGACGTCGGCCAATCCGAATTCGGGTACATCACAAAACCAGACACGCGACGTCCTGATGTTTGTCAACACGCGGTCCCTGGAAGTCGCGGCCCTTTCCCCGGGGCCCGCTTTTCATCCTGAGTTTTTTGTTTGACAATCCCGGAGCCCAGCGAGGGTCCCAGGAGGCCGAAAACGGCCAAAAACCTCCCGTCGTGATTTTTGTATGGCGCGATCATGTCTGGGAACATACCGTCGGATTTGGACCGATTTAAATCTTCGTCCAGCCCCTGATATCCGAAGTTGCAAAAAATCGCAATAACAAATACTGGACTCCATCTCTCTGTGTGGTTTTTTGAACTGGATCGATACGTGCGGGCCCCAGGGCCCGAAACTCGAGTAGGGGATCGACTGCAGAATTGATTGACCCCAAGCTTGGTTTTCCCGCCGAATCTGCGAGACCATGCGCGTAATATCCAAAGGGCCTCGGACGCCGAAGTTGGCACTTGTCGGGCGGCGGACTGCCAGCACCCTGGAGGGCCGGCCAGTGAAAATCACCATTTTCGGCCTCCGAAGGCCTTTACTGCAGGGCCCCAACGTATACACCACCCCCAGGCGGCCACAGGCAAAGAGCAGATCCTGCGCGCGACCGCCCTGACAGGGGTGCCACTGCCTGCCCCCGCCAATCGCAAGTACTTGCCACGTGGTCATGCGCGCAAATGAACGCCGCATTCGGTCCCGAATAATCGCCCCCAGACACCCTATGCCAGCCCAGTGGTGGTGTACGAAAACGATGGGCCCCCCTGGGGATTTCATACAGCACCCCGAAATATACACCACACGAATGTGTTGTAATTTTTTCCGCATGCAACCGCGTGCCCAAATGACGCTGCACACGCGACGTGTCATTACCGCGAGATTAGACGCACCCTACAACCCACCGCCGAAACAATAATCCGATCAACCCCCATGACAGAAAACCAGCCCGCGGTGGTGATGCAGTTGCGTGGGTCCCAGATTTACCGAGCCTTGGGACAGTCCAAAAACGACTCGGGATGGACAGTTGGTCCTGGGGAAGGGGCCCCGACGTTGTCCAGAAATCACGACGTCGGGGGTCTGGGTATGAAGGGGCCCAGGGAAACACCAACAAAGAGACACAAATCCAAGGATCCCCCAGGGGAACATATAGGAAGGGGCCCAGATCGGAATCCGCAGTCGAAGCGACCCGGAATCGAGAGCCATCGGTATCGGATCGAATCTCATCGGAGGACTCGAAGTGAGCCCATCGGCGGCGAGCGAGGGGGGGAAATGAGAAGGAGAAGGCCCTCTCAAGGGCGGCGGGACTTCTCAGAAGCCCTCGCGCCTTCTCATAAGTGTTTTGCGTCTTCGGGGAAGGCTTAGAAAACTTCTCAGAAGACCGGGGGACTTCTGAGCCTTCTGAGAAGGCCTTCTCCTTCTCACTTACCCCCTCGTTCGCCACCGACTGTAGACCCCCGTTCCCTGGCGCGCGGAGCGCGCAAGGGCCGCGGCTGCGGTCAGGAGGGAACCCAGCGTCGACCCAAGCCGCACAGGCGGGCCGGGGAAGCCTGGGAGGAGCGCCAAAGAAGCAGCGAGCCCCATGGAGAGAGAGAGAGAGAGAGAGAGAGAAAAAAAAAAAAAGGAAGGGGCCCAGGGGAACAGCAACACGTAGACACACATCCCAGGATTTGGAGGGCCAAGCCGACCTGCGTCTAGAAGACCAACATCTGGGGCCGATGCCAAATACCGTTCTCACGTCCCAGCTACAAGAAACTATGGACACGTTGTGTGCCGTGATACAGTTTCGGGGTGGATACGTCTATGGACAACGTGGCCGTTGCGTTCGGCGCGGTGCAAGGTCAGAGAAAGCAGGGCTCGATTTAAACAGTGTTTTCCGTGTTCGTTGTGTTTTCGTCATCCCTAGTTCTGTTTTCGTTCCACATTTGCTGCAAAACGAAGTCAAAACGAAAACGGTCCACGAAATTGCCAAAACACCGTTTAGCTCGAGCCCTGAGAGAATGGGTACATCCGTCTGCGGTATGTTTCTGTTCTAGAGCAGGTCCCACATGGTACTCCAACCCAGTATTCCCCATATTTCTAAATGTTTGTTCTTGATGTTCGTCTTCCCCCATATTTTCCTGGGAATCGACGATTATGTGTGTCTGTGTGCTTCCCCCCTCCTGACAAGTCTAGCACTGCGTGTACTCGAGTCCCCGACGGAAATCCCGACCCTCTGACCGGGGCCGGCTGTTCAGCCCTCTCCTGACGCTCCCGGAGCCCAGCGAGGGCCCCCGGAGGCCGAAAGTGGCAAACAGCCTCCCGTCGTGATGCCTTAGGACGTGATCCCGTTGGGACGTCATCCCGTTGGGACTTCATGGTTGGGACTTTTTGGTTGGCACGTGATCCCGTTGGGACGTGATCCCGCGAAAGCTACAAAGGACGTGCTCCCGTTGGGACTTGTGGTTTGACGAAGCCGCCCGGGGCCGCTGCTTCATCCCGATTCGCCTTGTGGCGCTCCTGGGGCGCGGCGAGGGCACACTCAGAGGCCGAAGATGGGCCGAAGACCTCCCGTCGTGAATCCCACCAGCCCTCTGGGCGTCGGTGGTTTAGAGCGTTTCCTCTTCCACCCCGCCTTCTTCCCCTTCGGGGAGGGGTTTACCCCTCCCCCTACCCCCTCCCCTGGATCTGGACGGGGGGTCCGCGGGTCGATGGCCTCGGCGAGGAAGCGTGGCGCGATCCTGTTTTGTTTTAATTCGGGGACGCACCGACCCGAGCCAATGCACACGCGAGTCAACGCGCCCATGGCCCTGCAGGATGCTGCAAGATCCGGAACTCTGGCAGACCCTCGTTTGCACTGATCCCCGTCCCTTGAGCCTCTGGGGCTGATTCTTCATCCCGAGCCGTCTTTTGACGCCCCCAGGGCCCGGCGAGGGCCCCCAGAGGCCGGAAATGGACCAAAACCTTCAGTCGTTATTTTTGGTGGCGCGATCCCGTCATGATTTCTTTACTGGACTGGGTCAATGCACACGCGGGTGAGTCAGGCCTCGCAGAATCCTGCAAAATCCTGCAGGATCCTGCAGGATCTCTGCGCCCTCACCCGGGTCAATGCGCCTATGGCTCTGCATGATCCTGCTAGATCCCGCGCGCTGGCAAGCCCCCGTTTGCATTGCCCCCTGTCCCTTGAGCCCCGATTTAGGACGCAACCGCCTGGGGCTAGTTCTTCATCCTGAGTCGTCTTTCGACGCCCCGGGGCGGGAAATGGCTAAAAACTCCCTTCGTAATTTTTGCGGCGCGATCCCGTTATGATTTGTTTATTCGGGAACGCACTGACCTGGGTCAATGCAAACACGGGTCAGTCAGGCCTTGCAGGATCCTGCAAGGTCCTGCAAGATCCTGCGCACTAACCTGGGTCAATGCGCTCTGGCTGACTACCGTTTGCATTGACCCCCGTCCCTTGAGCCCCGATGATCGTTATTTTTTCGCAGCCAGAAGGGGCGTTGTGGGGGGAAGGGGGGGGGGGGAGGACGGGAGGGGGACATGACGTAACGGCCCCCCCAAGACACTGTGGTGCCAGACGCGCTGCGCCAGTGCCGCGGACACACTTAGGGAGGTGAACGTCCCTGAGATCCGATGTAGCGAAAATATTGCAGTATCGAAAAAAATCACGCCCAGAGCCCTGGACCCGATCTGTCTGCGCCATTTTTGATGCCGGATCGATACGTGAGGGTCCTGGTACCTGAAATTGAGCACAAACGGCGGGCTCGAAAAAACGGAGACGCCATGATCTCAGGGTTCTTGGGGGGCATGCCGCGCGTTCTGGCCCAAAGAATACCATCGGGTCGGGCGAAAGGGGGGGATAGCAAAGGGGGGGTTTGAGAATTAGCTCGCGTAGCTGATTTTCCCGGCGCCTCCCGGCGCCGAAGGCGGCTGTATATCGAGGAATGGGCCCCTCGGTGAGGCCGAAACCAGCTGCATGCAGCAAATTTCGTACCCCCCCCCTTTCCCAATCCCCCCCTTTCGGGAGCGGCCAAGAGGGGGGTGTCCAAGAGGGGGGGGTGCAAATCATGACCGGCGGCATGTGCGCGGCCCAGCGGGGGGGGCCAGGGACGTAATGAAATAAGAAGAGGCGCCATGAAATCTGGGGAAATATCATGGCCCGCGCCATGAAATCCACCCCCCCCGTAGTCATCACCCCCCTCTTTCCCCCCCCCCGACCCTTTCGCCCGACCCGATACAAAGAACTCTCGATTTCTGACGCGACCGGAACGACCAGCTGATGGGCCTGTGTTCCACCGCCACCACCATGAGCTGGAGGGGGGCGGTCCTCCTCCTCCTCCTCCTCCTCCTCCCTCCTCCTCCTCCTCCTCCTCCTCCCCTCCTCCTCCCTCCTCCTTCCTGGTGGTGGTGGTGGAAAACAGGCCCGTCACCAGCCTCTGCGACGGGGCCCTTATAGCCGAGGGCGAGGGCCGAAAGCGCGCACGCAGGGCGGCGGCGGGGACCGCCCGCCTGCACAGGACGGGCCGGTCCTCCGGCGGCCTCGCGCTCGCGGGGCCCGCCACCTGGGGGCGGCCAGAGCGAGGGCACTCCAGATTTCGTAGTAAAAGGGAGGGGCCAAAAATACTCCAAGAAGCCATCGAGAGACCGCCTCCTCGTCCTCATCCTCCCCTCTTCATCCTCCTCCTCCTCCCCCTCCTCCAACTTCTTCTCGCTCGCCACGAACACACAAACATATAGCACCAGCGATACAATGTGGGCCGGCGGAATGAGCGAAGCGATTAAATCCGCCGACCCCTTGGGGTCATCGGCGTGTGAGATGCTTCCCCCCTCCCCAAACCCCTCCCCCCGGAGCCTGGTCCGGTCGTTTTGGAGGGGGGGGGGGGGGGTCCGGCCGGATTCCCCGGGATCCGCCGGCGCGGTCCGGGGGGGGTCATCCGCTCCAGAGAGTCTGCTGGGGGGGCCGCAAACGAGCGAAGAGGCTCCCAAGAAGCTCTGCAGACGGTCCAAGAGGGCCCCGAGTCGCCGAAAAAACACTCGAAGACGGTCAAGATGGCCTCCAGATGGCCCCAGATGCCTCCAAGACGCCCCAAGAAGCTTCCAAGACGCCTCCCAAGATGGCCCCAAGAGGCCAAAATCGTCGATTTCCATTGGTTTTTTCAACGTTTTTGGCCTTCGCGTTTTTTCGGGCTTCCGACGCTCCAAGACGGCGAAAGAAGCCCCCAAGACGGCATCAAGACGACCCGAGAGGCTCCCAAGTGGGCCCCAACACGGCCCAAGAGCGCCTCAAAACGGC